CAGCGCAGCCTCGCAAATTTTACCCTCCAAGCGCACATATTCAGAAGAATTCCGCAAAGATGTCGCCCGCTGGGCTGACAAGCACTGTTTAAACATGGATGATGCTGCCACCCAGGACTTCTTGGAAGGTCAGTGGCCACTGCATCATTGGACCCCGGCCAAAATGTGGACATTTGGAGCAGCATCCGTCATTTCTTTGAGTCCATCTCGGATGACGCCCGCATCGTTCTATTCCCCCGCCGTCCGCCCCCCCCCCCCCCCCCCTGACCGCCAAGTTAATACATCTGAGACGGGTTTGCTGCAACTCTGCCAGCAGCTCAGCCTAATTCGAGACGCCGCCTCCGCAAACATTGCCGTGCTGGACCAAATGTTTTAACAACCCGTTCTCGAGATGAACCCTCGCTGAAATTCGATCAGCCCTCGCCCAAATTCGAAGAGCCCGATCTGCCCACTGTGGCATCCGCAGTACAAACCACCTGCAGAACCAGGTTTGTCAAAATCCGTGGAATTCATGCACGCCAGCAGTGAACGGGTTTGCGGCGGTTGCCCCAGACCAGGTGGCTTTCAGCTACGTTTGTCGTGAACGGCGTTACTGACCTATCGGTTCACAGCGGACATCAGTGGACGCATTCGCCTGACGCACAGAGGTTTGCGGCGGTTGCCCCAGACCAAGAAGCTTTCAGCTACGTTCGTGTATGTACCCCGATTTGTCAAATCCGTGCAATTCGTGCATGCCGGCAGGGGGCAGCCGGAAGAGTATGTGGGCGGCTGCCAACGAAGACCCCACATACTTTTCGTGAAACGTACCTGCCTGAGAGCTGCTCCTGGGTCCCGTCGCGGGCAGCTGGAGGGCTCACCCCTAACAATCGCCCTTAAGGCCACTGACTTTGCACGGTTCAGTGCTAACTTGCAACATTTCATCTCATGTTTACGTGTTTGAACGTTTGGTGTTTGACTGCCGACGTGGCATTCCCAGTGTGTGCGTGGGTTTGTGTGTGTGTGTGCGGAGTGGCAGAATACCCTGCCACCACAATTGCTTATGATTTCAACCGCAGGGGGGCAAGGCCTCCAGTGATGAACCTTGCCCAACGAAGCTGCATCACTGGAGGGGATGCAAGGCCTGATCAGCCTTGTGTACCTGCAACATTTGAGTGATTCTGAAAGTCCTTTTGGCCCTCTTCTTTTGCCGCTGTAAGTGCTTCTTGTTGTTTTCGATTCTACCGGAAAGCCAAGCGTCTTGCGAGCCGAAACTCATCGTACTCGAGACTTATCAGTTGTACTCGAGACTCATCAGTTGTACTCGAGACTCATCAGTTGTACTCGAAGGATTAGCACCCTCCCTTGGGAGTTGAAGTGTGGCTACCCCAGCTTGGGGGAACCTCGGGTGTACCCATCGTGTGACCCCGGGCCGGTTCGCCGGAAAATTTGACCTCAACGTTCTTATCACAGCTCAGCAGAATTTCACGATTTAAGCAGGAACGAGGTTTAAAGGGAAGACAGCCGTCAGATCATAGCTAAGTCTCACCCTTCTTTCTTTCTTCTCGCCTTCGCCTTCCCCGTGCCCACCTTCTGGTTCTTCGCCCGCCTAGGGATGGCTTCTCCTTCCTCCCGTTCTCTTCTTGCTGCCTTTCGTGACCCGCGCGTTCGTCCTCCTCCTGTTCGCCCGCTTAGGGATGGCCTGGTTGTCCTCGCGTTGTTCACCTTTTTCCTCGTCTTCGTCTTCTTGTCCGTCTACCTGTTCCTACTCCTCTTCTTCCTCACATAGTTTGGCTTGACGTCTTCTTCCCCTTCCGTTGCTATTTCGCGTCCGTCCTCTTGGCCCCTGTGTGGGATTCGACGTCTTCCTCCTCGAGCCTTGGTCTTCATCCTCTGTTCCTGTCTGGGCGGGATGCGTCGCCCTAAAAACGCATACGACATCCCTCTTCCCCTTCCTTCTTCCTTCTTCCTTCTTTTCTCCTTTTGTCTCCTTGTCTTCTGCTTCTTTTCTGTGCTTTTCTTTTTTCTCCTTTCTCCTCTCCCCGGGCGGGCTGCGGCGCCCTAAATACGCATCTCGCTCCCTTTGTCTTCTTTTCTCTCCTTCTTCTTCTTCTCTTTCCCTTTCTTTCCTTTCTCCTTCCCCCGGGCGGGCTGCGGCGCCCTAAACACGCATCGGGCCCCCCTTTTTTCTCTTCTTGTTCTCTCTTTCTAGCGCTCTCTCTTTCTTTCTTTCTTTCCCTCTTTTCTCCTCCCTCTTTTCCAACTACTTCCTGTTGTTCCTCTTCGCCCGTTTAGGGATGGCGTGTTCGTGGTGTCGTTCTTCAACTTCGCGGTGCTCTTCTTCTACCAGGTTTAGGAGGGTTTCTAGGCTGTTTGGGGTTCTTTGCCCTCGGCGGTGACCCTAAACTCGGGTTCCCCTGTTTTTCGTGTTTCTTGGTTGGGTTTTGCCCGCGGAGACCCAACGTGGGGCCTTTCTGTTTCCTTTGTTTTCCTGCTCTGTTTGTTTTCTGTTGGGGTCTTCGCCCGGTTTTGGGGCGCATGTTTCCCCCCCCCGAAAAAGTGGTTCTCGCCCCTCTTTGAGGGGCGTGTGTGTGCGGAGTGGCAGAATGCCCTGCCACCACAATTGCTTATGATTGTGACCCACGGTGTAGGCTAAGTCAAGGGAAGCCCAATTATTTTTTGTGCGATTTAGATACGATTTTGATATGATTGGCACTTATGTTTTTGATACGCTGGTTTTACGTTTTCTTTACACCTTTTTGCTTCTCACGTTTCCTTTGAATTGAGATGTTTGACCCTCTGGCAGGATGATTGGGTTCCTACCAGGCACAACTGAGCGTGACATGCTAGCTCATGAGGAAGCAGCCATCGAGTGACCCTTTGCCCTCAGGGAAGCAATGGGAGTGCAAGTTGCTTGTCGAAACTTCTCAATTACTAGTGTGGTATCTAAGCGATCTTTGTAGGTAGTAGCAAGCGTTTGGAAGCTTTTGCACTGTTGGGGGCAGTGACGGCTGTTTGAAGCTGGCCTAGCCAAAGTTGGGGGAGGGGGCCAGACATTTCAGGGGTTGTGGCCCAAGGGACGGGGTTCCCCCGGCCTGTTTCAGGGGGTCCTGCCGTCAGGGAATTGGAATTCGCAAAGAAATCGTAATAAAACTGGAAATCGTATTTAAATCGTATTAAAATCGTATTTTTTACGATTTTAATACGATTTTAATACGATTTTTTGCACCCCCTGCTTTCAAGTGCGAGAACTTTACGCTTTTGGGAGAGGGGGGGCTGCGCAAGGGGGGGTTCTTCCTACATTGTTTTTCGTTGCATCTTTGACAAAGAGGCATGGATGGATCTTACAGTAGGCAGGACTGCTTTTCAGGTCACCCATTCAATTGTGTGTTTCTGCATGGAGGTTAGGCCTGACAAGCTAGCTAGCGCTGCATTGCTTTTAAGCACGCCCAATTGAGGTCAAGGCGGTTCGGGCGTAAACTGCGTACAGGGTAAGATGCGTTTCTTGCGGCTTCAAGAGGGCATCTGGTGAGCTTGCGCGTGTGTTGCGAGAATGCAAGCTGTCTTCACTTATGAACATGTTCTGGTACCAGGAAGGTCATGTTGTCAACTTCAGGGAAATGTTGGGGTAGCAAGCGCTTTCCAAAACTAGTGTTTCCAAGGTGAAAAAAAACGCAAACAAAAACGTAAATGTTGCAGGGGTCATATTGAAATCGTAAATGCGAATCGTAAAAAAACGTAAACAACCCATTAAAAAAAAAGAATCAAGAAAACGCCAGTTAGGCTGACAGCGTAGGTCACAAGCTTATGATTTCAACCGCAGGGGGGCAAGGCCTCCAGTGATGAACCTTGCCCAACGAAGCTGCATCACTGGAGGGGATGCAAGGCCTGATCAGCCTTGTGTTGCAACATTTGAGTGATTCTGAAAGTCCTTTTGGCCCTCTTCTTTTGCCGCTGTAAGTGCTTCTTGTTGTTTTCGATTCTACCGGAAAGCCAAGCGTCTTGCGAGCCGAAACTCATCGTACTTATCGGTTGTACTCGAGACTCATCAGTTGTACTCGAGACTCATCAGTTGTACTCAAAGGAGTAGCACCCTCCCTTGGGAGTTGAAGTGTGTGTGTGTGTTTGTTAAAGGGAAACCAATAGGAAAACCATCATTTTGGGGGTTCCCTATATTAAGACAATCCCTCCTGTTTGAGAATGTTGACCCCGGACGAATAAACCCGTCCTATTTGGAGGGTGTCACCAGCAAAAGTGGTCTGAGTTTTCAAAGGGACACTCCCCAATCAAAATCAACCAGGGGTTCATTAGTCAGGGGTGCCCATCGACTCATCGCATGGTTCTGGACATAAAGACTAACGTGCTTACTCCGGTTGTCAAAGAAACTCACCCATGACTAAGGTCCCGTACTCGGGGGTTCTTTAACTACGGTTTGTGAATTCTTGGAATTTGCTCCCATATGCTTGGCGCATTGGGTGTTGCTTTTTGGGCTAATTTTCTATACGATGGAATCACCGGGTATCACAGCAAAGATTGATTTCCAAGGTAGTTGTGATCATGGTGATCTGGACATGGAGGCGGGTATCAGGGAGGAAGCGAATCTATCATAATTGGGATTGTCAGTTGGGAACGTATCGCTTTGCGTTGTTCGCGTGAACTTTGCAATGATATTGGTACCACAAAGGACTACAACCCTTCTCCCATGATCATGATGAAATTCGATGATGGGTTGATAGTACCCCACAACGCCATTGGAGATACTTGGCCGTGGGTCAAAACCAATGGAACCATTTTGGGTGGTGCACCACCCATGTTAGTCTATTTGAGTGGGGATTGGGATGGGGGTACGATTTGGATTTTGACCCATAGCCACTTAGGTCCTTGTGCAGGAGACACCGTGGATGGTTTGTTGGTATTTTCAGGGAATCATCATTCCAGGGTTTCTTAGGTGGTGCAGGATTTCGTCCATCCACAGTATCAAACACAAAAGCCCCCACCTGAGTGCAGCACCCGCCGCGTTGCAGGCCCGAAGCTGGAGCCGACACGCGAAAAGAAGTGTCGACGTCAGAAGCCTCAGGCTGCGACTCGCGAGTCGCGCTTTCCATTTGCTGTGTGTGTGTGTGTTATGCTTTGCACTACAAGTATATAATTATATATGACATCTCATTGGATATGTATATATATATTATACATATTCAATAATGTATGAAGTAGTGAGAGGGCAAGTCATAGCAATGGATGGTGAAGCTTTCATAGGGATCCCTTTTATTGGAGGAGTAAGTTTCGATAGCTTTCCTAGCTGTGAGTGTTTTGGGCACGCACATGCACGCGCAACCATTGTCTGAATTAGGGTGCCCCTGCAAATGCGGTGTGTCCCTTTCATTTGCAATTGTGAATCTACAACTTATGAACTATTGAAGTTACTTCCAGTTGCTTGAGTATACGTGTTCTTGTCCCCTGTCGGTTTTGACACGAATCTATCACTACTGAACTTGTATGTTCCAGGGGTCGTATCCGCAAATGGAAGATGATGATTCGATGTTTGGTTGCTTTAGGGGGTCTCCCACGCATTTGAATCCTGCTTGCGACCAAGGCTTGAAGCGCCGCTGAGGCAATTGCAGGGCGCCACAGGGATGCCTTCGAAGCTTTGGGCAAGTACTTCCATTTGATTAAACATACAATACCAAAACGGCTAACTTCAAAGACGCGCACACCCATTTGCTTCGAGCGGTGGGCTATAGCTTTCCTTCTTCACAAGGGGGGGTAACTTCCATTTCATCCAGAGGTAGGGGTTATTGTCTCTTGGCTTTCAAGGGAATCTATCACTACTGGACATGTGTTCTCCTGTTTTTCCAGGCGGCGTAGCCGCAAATGGAAGAATAGCATGGAACCCCTGCAAAAGTAGCATGGAACCCCGCCAACTGCCTTTTCCACCTCCAAAATCCCAAGTACTGACCAATGTTTGTCTTGGTGACCCGGGTGCTGGCCAAGAACCCATCAGTTTTGGAGGGACGTGGGTTCCACGTTACCAGAAGGTCAACAATACGAAGGTTGCTTGGTGCAAAGGTACTTGCGACGCATCAGGGTTTCTTTGCAGAAGGAGGCTTAGGCTTTCCTTCAAAAGGGGGTAACACAGCTAATTGGCCTTAAGCTTACTTCCTGAGTTCCTGAACTTTAAACTTTTTGGGCAGACCATTCTAAACTTTGGTGCATTTTGCTTGGATGTTTTGACTTTAACTTTTTTGCCAACTACTGGATTTTCCACTAAACGACTAAAATTTAATCTTTTAGCAGGGAAGCAGAGAGCAACCAAGTAAAGTGGTAAACAGTTTGGGTACTTGTTTGGCCAATCCGCTCAGGGAGTCAAGAAGGGGCCGCAAGAAGAGATAGCCTGGTGTGTGAGTGATGCCTTTGTTGCAGATAGGGCCGCATGTTTGAAGCCAGGTAGTCCATTGACCTCCCAGCAGCACCCCCCCCAACCACCGCTTTTGGTCCGAAACTGGGATTCTGGACACTGGGATGAAGCAGTCGTTGCGCAGTGCTGGCCATGAAACTGCAGCCATGTGTACTTGTTAGGCAAGTTCTGAGATGCTGGCAAACGAGTTTTGTTTTTTGCGCAACCTTTGGCATAGGACGCATAGGTGGAGTTCCGGGTGAGCTGAACGTCACTTGGAAAAGCACGTACCAACTGGGTCAGAATGCTTTCCAAGCGACGAGGCCGCGAAGACGAGGAGTGGAAGGCACCGAGCTTGGCCGAGTTCGCTGAATTGCTTGGATGGCTTTTGAACACCAAGAAACATCAACTGTTTTTTTGGACAGCACGGAACATATTTGGACATGGTTGAAAGCCAGTTGTTGGGGGGTGCTGGCAAATGTTCTAAAACCATTTCGCTTCGGCCCTCTTTCAGTTTCCTTGTGTTTGGGAGGGCAAAAGGAACCACACGTAGGGGCCCCATTGTTCTACCAAGCATGGAAGTCAAAAGGCCAACCATCGGGACGTTTGGCCTGAGTGAGTAAACCTCGTGTGTGCGTGCGTCCTGAGCAGCTCCGGATTGGTTTCCACCACGGATACGAATAGAGGTAAGAATAAGGCTTGAGTCTGATTGAAGGCTTGCATGAGCTCAAGTGACAAACCAAGTATTTTTGCAGGTGTAGAAGATGTTGGGCATTGCGGTTTCGCAGCCAAGATGGTGTTGCCTTGCGCAGACTATATAATTTCCATCTTTGAGTTCGCAGGGCATCCGCGTGTTTGCTTCGTGGCAAATGGGCCGATTGTCAGCGTGTAGTTTCTTGGTGTTAGCCGCCTTGTGTGCCACTGTTTTCACGTGAGTTTTAATTTGGCCGGGGTGGTCTCTAAGGGGGCCATCTGGGGGATTCAGGTGCCCGCCCCAGTTTTGGGGAGAGATCAACCAAGTACAAAGCAAGTAAGTCCTCTTGTCGACCGACTTAGTCATGGAGATAGTGAGGCGTCAGCAACCTCTATGATTATTTCCGGGTTTACTTCCCTGCACAACAACACGACCCCCCGAAATAGTGTCCAGCCCCCAAATTTGGGGGGTGCTCTGCTACACTACAGGGGTAAGACTCGGTTTCTGCCGACTGCGCGAGGAGAATTCCAGACGCTCGAGGCATCGCAAGGAGCGCGTCGCGTCCTCAAATGAGGTCCATTCAAATCCCATGGAACCCAAATCACGGGTCCAAAAAAAAAAAAAACATGAACATTGCGCTGGAGGCTTGTCCCAACCCAAACCTCATGCGGGGACCAAACCTGATTAGCCCATCCCTTGTAATTGTTTGGGGTACCTTCCCAGCTTGGAGGGGTTGAATGGACCTGTCGACTTAAGCACATGATTCATCCCGAGCATTGGTTCCGAGGGTTTTTTCCACCAGATCACTCACCTGGGTGACTGTTGAAAGCTGGTGCAGTGCCATGAGGTGTAGAGATTTCCTATATTGTCCAGGTCTTCAGTTGCTGGTGTTGATCCAAATTGCCCAGATGCTCAGTTGATGGCAGATGTCCTGCGTCACCAGGGAAGGATTGGTATCACTACTCAGAAGACACCCGTATGGCAGGGAGAAGTTGTGTGTTTTTTTGTTTTTTGTTTTTTTCTCGGACACACGGCCACCAAATTTGCAAACTGCAGTACACAATCTTTACGCATTGTCTAGATTGTTGTAGAACCCACTTCACGTGAGTCTGGTAGCATGTCACAGCAGGTCCACTTGGAATGTTGGATTTAACGGTGGCGTGCCCACAATAAACACATGACTGGGGGTCCAACCCAAGGGTACTATTTTGGGGTAGGTGCACCCATTTTGGTCTATTTTAGTGGGGATTGGGATATTCACGGGGGGTACGGGCTTTTGACCCATGGCCATATGATTCGCGGCGAATGCAAATTGCAGGAATGGCATTTCGTGCGTTGGAAACGAGGTGCTCATGTCGAAGTGGCTTCTTAGAGCGGCTCCCTGTGGTTCGTGAGCCCAGGTCACTCCTCTATTTTGGTGCAGGCATGTCAAATCTTCGTGCGTTTGTGTCTGTGTTTGTGTCTGTGTTGTGTCTGCGTCCGCCTCTAATTCTATGTGTCTGTGTATGTGTTTCTTTGTTTGTTTGTTTGCTTGCTTGCTTGTTTGCTTGTTTGTTTGTTTGTTTGCTTGCTTGCTTGCTTGTTTGTTTGTTTGTTTGTTTGTTTGTTTGTTCGTGTGTGTGTTTGTGTGTCTGTGGGGGTTTGGGGGGGGGGGGAGGCGAGCAAAACAGTCCTGAGATTTGTTTGCCCACAAATCGGACCCGTTTCACACCCTAGAGCCACGTGTTGCATGGGTGTTCCGGACTTGCAGGGCAAACTGAAGGGGCTACAAATCCTAGACCCCACTTGAAGGGTTCATCGACGAATGCAACCGAACATGAGATGTACGGTGGATTGCAGGCAAGCACCCAAGCTGGTGGTGATCCATAAGGTTCAACCCCTATCAAAAGAATTTATTGGCAAATACTGATTCAACCCCTATTTGGATGATGAAACTCTTTAGGGACATATATGGTGGTTATATGAACCCAACCATTGCTTTAACGGTGGTACTTAACCTGCAGGGTAATGGGTCGCCCTTCAACCCCGCTTTCGAGGCCATGGACGAGCGTGAGACGTCGATTTCCTTCGCGCGTGGATCCACGAGCTCGGCCTTGCAACCAGAGCTAAGGCTTTGGCAACCGAAGAATGAAAATTCTGGAATTGGGAGGTGGGGGTTTGGGGTTGGGGTAGGGGTTGGGGTGGGGGGTTGGGTGGGGTTTGGTGGGGTCGGGTGGGGTGGGGTTGTGGGGGGTGGGTTGTGGGATGTTGGGTGAGCTTATGAGCTTGCTTTGATCTTCCTTTTGGAGGAATGCCAGACTTGCCCAAAGCGCAAGATTCGGCAACCCTGCCACATGTCCGGAGTCGCATTGGAGTTTCACAAGTGCGCTGCGCGAAGTGCGCGAGAAAGACGTGCCTTTCGACGGTTTTGCAACACAGGGAGCCCAAAAGGCGCAGAAACCCTGCTTGGCCGTGAGGGTGAAACAAAGTTTTTACGCAAAACGGGTTGCCCTTGTAAATGGAAAGGACTAAAACCCGCTTTCCAATTCCTCGAATTGCTTTGCCCGTTGGGGAGTTGGAGTCGGAGTCCCTCTACTTTTCCCTTGAAAGGCTCATGGTGAGAAAGTGGTACTGTGGATGGTTGCGAAATCCTCTTAGGCACCACCTAAGAAACCCTGGAATGATTTGATTCCCCTAAGAAACCAACAATGGTGTCCCATGGTTTCCAAGTGGTGCGAAATGGATTTCGTCCATCCACAGTATCCCAGATGCGAGTGGCTGTTCTTCCCCAACAGCTGAAAGCTTGGGGGTCTCCGCCCAGATAGGCTCCGGACCACGGTCCGGGGCGGCCAACCTACTTTGTCACTCGAGATGGGTCGTTCGACATGGGCGTGTTTCACAATAGTTGGTAGTCCTTGTGGTTTCTCTTTCAACCAAGGTGAAAAGGGTACTCTCAACAAAGACACCCTCCCACATTGTCAAACGGATGTCACGCATGCACATCGAGTTTTGGTCGTAATGAGTCGTAATGCGCTTGGTATCAGGACTCGCCGGCGAACGCATGAACATTGTCCGAGACTCGAGGCACGCGCCAGACACCTTGGAGCAGTTGAACAGAAAGCGTTTGGCAGATTCCGACCTAAGGCGATTGGCGACATGGACAAGTTACCTTTGGCCATGTCTCAGTTTCGCATGATGAATTACTTGCCCACAGTGCTAAGTCTGTTCATTGCTGCTTCTTTGCCCACAGCTAACCTTTTGACTCTTTGGTTCCTTGTTGCTCCATTTTGATGGCCCATAGAACCCGCCTTGAAAGCTAGTCAAACATCCTTTCTTGCTGCAGGCTGTGATGCACATGCTGGGTCCATGTTATCTCAGCCTTGCCCAAAGGACCTGCAAATAGAAGGTTAACCTGTTTTATTTTTTTTTGGGGGGGGGCACTCCGCACAATGATGTTCTTTGGCAATCATACATTCAGTTTTGGCCTAGCTGCAGACCCTGCACAAGTTTGTTGAGTTCGTCTTACAGTCTCACCTGACTTTC